AATTACTAATATATCAATTATTCACATGAGTAACAAATATTTTCAGTCAATTACTTCGCTAAATATAAACTGTAAACAAAATAGAAAAAAAAAAAAGATTGATTTAATTTCCTTTTTAATAATAATGAAAGCTAGATTTATATGTTGAATAAAAAGTTGTGTATATGTTAAATTGTTTCTCTTTAAAATAATTTATTATTTTTTCCTTCATCTCGTATAATATTACAAAATAAAACTTGATTTTATTTGTAACTCAATTAAATTACCATCGTAATAAATATTTTATTCAATGCTTATAACTTCTATCAAACTTATTTCATTGTCAATATTTGTTGCTAAATAAAAAATACATTAAGATACAGATAAATATTCACATGAATCACTTCTATTTTCATATGAATCAGTATGAATTTGTATGTCATAAGAATAATCATATGACATATTAGTATTTGAAGTATTCTTAAACAACCTAAATGTTTTTGATTTTATATATGATTAATAATATTCGTTTTATTTTTACAATAATAATAATATTTGATTTATTATAATGATGAATATTCTATTAAAAGCATTTTGTTCACACTTAAAAAAAGATTTATATTTTGAATACAATTAGTTTTTATTTTTTGTTTTAATAATCATATTAAAAAACTCCTCTAGATCTAACATTTGGTACAATATATTTGTACTCTCTTAATGGTAATATTGAGATTCTCTTAGGTTCATTAATATATTCATATATTTCACGTTGATTAATACAACAACCAATAAAATAACTACCAATAAGAGTTGATATTGCACCTAAAATAATACCAAATCCTCCAACAACAATCAATAATGAATTAACAATAAGTTCATACAATTGCCAACGAGGTCTTGATGTATCAGAATATTTCGTATCATAATGAACAGGTATAATACATGTCATTATTAAATAGAATGAAAGAATAGTTGATATACCAGCAAGTACCGTAAATCCAAAAATTGATGGAAGAGTCCATTCTCGAGATGCTAATATACTAACAAGTCCTGTTGCTATCAATACAAGACCAACCCAAAAACCTTTACCTAAAATATTTTCGTAAAAAAAAGAAAAAAAAAAAATTTTTGTTTTTCTTCAACAATTACCTGATGATGGCCATAGTGGATTTTCAATTTTTAAACCACCTTGACTTTCATCATAATGATAAACACTTGGTCGACCATAGAATAATTCAATTATAGATAAAATTATACTTGCTATACCAATTAGACAAAATAAAATTCCTAATATAGCAACAATAGCAATTCGAAAACCAACTGACATACTGAATGCTTTGAAAAATGTCTTCATCTTATATATATATATATATATGACAAGACTAGAGCATGTCAACACTTCCATAGTTTCATCATATACGTAGTAATGATGATAACAATCAAATCAATGAACTATGACATTTTTTTTAATTACTTTTTACGCTATAATATCAAATATATTTACATGAAAAAGAAACCGAAATTCTTCATCAAATGTTCTCTTCTTTTTTTTGTATTTCAAATTTCTCAATACTCCGCAAATAAATGAAATAAAACAAAAAACAAAGCTTACTAATAATATATCATTTATATTTTTCTATCAATATAATTCTAGGAACATATTTTTTTTTCCTATGTTTTCATCTTTAGTTCATCAGTAAATTTTTTGTCACCTATCGGTCTATTCATTTATATTTCAGATAATAATATAATAAACCAATAAAATTTTATTATATATCATCACACACATACTTGTCCTTGACAAGAATTATCAATATGATGAAAAAAACAAACAAAATCTTTATTGTCAAGCACACAAATACATCAAACGTTTAAATAATAAAATATAATAATATATTCTCTTGTTTAAACAATAACACGTAATGTTGGTTCTGGTCCATGAGTAGCTTCATCAAATTCATCATTAACTGTATCATCAACAAGTGAATAATGTCCTTGGGATGATGAATATGGTAAATTATGTATTTCTGTTTCAGTTGATATAGCAACTGGCGTTGTTGGTTTTCGTCGTCGACCAGTCAATGTACAACATAGACAAATACAACGTTCAAATAATATTTCAAGCCAATATGGGTCTGTACAAGCAATTACAATTAATTGTACTAAATAATAAGTTGAACGTAATATTGATGCTAAAAAAACTGATTTATATGTATCAGTAATATGTTCAAGATAATATAAATAGATATCATAAAAAACAATAATACATAATAATGATGTAACACGTATTGTCCATAATTTTTGTATTGGTGAAATTTGATTTGTACCACGCATAAGATAAAAATATCTTAAAACAAAACCAATTAATATTATAGATGGTACAAATAAACAAAAATAAATTATTGAACGTGCTGTTGAAATTGCACTTAATTTAGAATAACTATATGGACAATATTTCGTTGTATATTGAGATATTTTTGATATTGTATCACGTTGAGTAAATGGTGATGCAAGAGCATAAATAAGCATTATGAAAAGCCAAGTAAAAATTGCATATAAATGAATATAAAACATATTAGAAAAATGTGTAAATTTTTGTTTATATGATGGATGAGCATAGAGAAAACGTTCTAGAATCATATAAAGTATAAAGAAAAATGGAACCTAAAAAAGAGAAAAAAAAATCAATAAATAAATAAATAATAGAATTTATCTTTTCTTTTCTTTTTTTTTTTTGTTTTATTAATTTATTGAAGCGACTTACAGTTAGATTTGTTGAGAGAATAACATAATGTAAACGACAAAGTCGTAATGTAAATACTTGAAACCAATTATAAAGTATAAATATTAAAGATGGTATCCATGAAATAAATGAACAAAGTATAATATGAAATGAAAAATAATCAATTATATTTAAATAAGCTTTTGTTCGAATTAATCTTATCGCTATTGGAATTGCAAGAACATATGTAATAATGGTGAATATCCAAATAATAATATGAATATTACGAGCAGGATAGTTTTCAGGTTCAATTAAATCAGTTTCTTGATGTTTGTATAATTTTGTTCCATTAAGAAATTTTGTAATAATGTGAAATATAGCATCATCGCTAAATATTGTTGTTGGTGCTGTTGTTGATGTTGTTGTTGATGTTGTTATTGATATTGTTGATGATATTTTTGTTGATGCTGTCGTTGACATTGAAGTCGACGGTAATATTGTAGAAGAACTATTCATTTGATCGTACTGGTATTGCTCAGAGTAAAGAAATTACGTATAATAAATTTATCAGGTTCTATCTGTTTCTTTATCACATTCAGAAGAAAAAAAAATCGTCTGCGTGTCTCCGTATTCTATGATATAGCTGAATATGTTGATCTTCCAATGATTGTCTAACGTGTACTTTGCATGCTTGATTAATTTCAGTCCGACGTCTACTTTTATCTTTTACCCAATGACGGCGGTAGTAACAGAAAAGGAAAAATCTACAACTTGACGATGTTGTCAGTAGAAAAAAGAGAAAATAAGCATAGAGCAGAATAGAACAGAACAGAACAGAACAGAATAAATACACTTTGTTGTTAATGGAAAGACGGCAGTAATCGATATAAAATTGCCTATGAGTATGCTGGAAAAGAAAAAGTTTAATGACGACATAGAAATAGCGTCGTACACAATATATATGTAGTATTCTTTTTTCTTTTTTCTTTTTTTCGAATAAGAAGGCAAGATAGTGTCATGTGCTTCTAAGAGTAAATACGCCTTATAGAAAAACAAAATGAAAAAAAAACAAATAGTAGAAAGAATACTTTTTTATAATTAATAAAAATGATATATGCGAAATAGAAAATGTTGACAATAAAATTAAAATTTGCATTTCTTTTTTATTTCTTTTTTATTGAATAAAATAGAATAAATGTTTATATAATTATTTAAAAACTAATAATAATGTAATATTAATATGTTTTTATTTAGATTTCTTTTCAAGTTTAAGTGTTTTTTTCGGTTTTATTTTTTCTAATGTGTTAATTTCATTATCTATGTTCTTTAATAATGAAAGTTCATTTAACGATTGAAATATTTTTATATTTGGTATTTCAATTTGAATATTATCATTTGATATTTCTCCACGATCAGGATCATATACATTTAATTGTAAAAGTAAATTAACAATAGCTGTATTACCATGAATATTTGCTCGAGCATAATCAAGTATAGAAAATCCATTATTATCATGATCATTGATATCAATTGTATGATGAACAGTTGATGAAAGTAATAAATGAAATATAACTGTATTATCATGAAAATAAGCGGCATAATGAAGAGCTGTTCGACCCATATGTATATCAGTAAGATTAGGATTAATACCAAGACGAATAAGAATTTCAACAATATTTTTATGTTGAAGATAAACAGCAAGTATAAGTGATGGAAGATAATTTTGAAATAATATATTAACATCAGCATTATGTTGAATTAATAGAGTAAGAATACCTTTTTTTTTGATATAGAAAAATGAAAAATAAAAATTTTAAGAAAAATTATTTAATCTATAATACCAGGATGATTATGAATAATTGCTTCATGTAATGGACTTGTTCCATCTTTACTTATACGATTTATATCAGGATTACAAACAAGTAAAGTCGTTAATGTTTCTTCATTACCAGCAATTGCTGAATAATGTAATGGTGTTCGACCTGATGCATCAGTAACATCAACTGTATGCATATATTCATAAAGAGCAACAATAATTGTTGCATCACCTAGAAAATTAACATAACTTTGTATTTAAATATTAATTCTTTCTTTTTTTTTCATTTAATAAATAACTAACTAACCTTCAATAGCAGCAAAATGAAGTGCTGAACGTTGTTGTTGATCATGATCAACATCAAATTGTAATAATTGAATATTATTTTCTTCTTTTTCTTTTGATTTTTTCTTATTTCGAAATGATGTTTTTCGTTTACTAAGTTGACGATTTAATTTATTAACATCTTTAGTTCGAATATAATCGATTGTTGTTGTTGTGCATTTTGATGAAGAATATTTCGTTCCCATTATATCTTCGAAAATGTATTGAGGTCTGATGCATACATTTTATTTTATACTTGTAACAACGAGCATCAGCTGGAATTGAATAGAAATCAAAATTACCATTTTATATATAATAAAAAATAAAAATAAACCGGAGATGAATCACAGCAAGAAATCTGTGACAATGTTTTGTATTTTTTATTCTAAAAAACAAATATATCATATCATTTAAATCGATTAATGTTAGTATATCTGATAATGATTTTGTTTTTCAAAACTATGGGAATAATTCTTACTCATAACAAAATTTCTTACACTGTCCTTCTCATCAAGAAAAAAAAATATGGCACACCTAATTTTTTCCAATTATATCTTTCTACTATTATCGTTTAATCTCTTATTTACACGACAAAATATATCTTTGATTAGTTAACTTATTCGAAAAATAATTAACTGTAACGAATGAGAATTTGTTAAGAAAATTAAAAGAAAATATATATCATAAGTGCTTATGTATCAATGAAACAAAAATTTGTTATTTTTCTTAGTAGTGACTTTTTTGTTCTAATTATCAAATCTTATTTGGTAGAACCAAAATTTTCAAAACAAGTCAAATAATACAATATAAGTATAAGATTCAACAGTAAACGCCGAAATAAACAATCAAAAATAACAGGTGGATTGTTTATTTGAGCTAGAGATATGTAAATAATGTCAATGATACAGCTGTTAATCATAGTTTGTCTCTAAAGAGTTCTTATTGAAAGAAAACAAAAAAAAACATCATGTTCGTGATGTATCTTTCTCTCATAGGAATTCTATATAAGCAAGACTTTTTAAATATTCATATTTTCTTTGTGAAAAGGAAAACATTTTTCTTTTTTTTATTAATTGATTAAATAACAAAAAAAATTAATAATAGTAATTAAATAATATTATTAATAATAGTAATAATAATAATAGAGAAAAAAAAAGCAAGATGTTTATTTTTTTGATTTAGTTGGTAAATATTTTTTTTCTGCATTAATTAATTCTTCATCATTTTGTAAACGAAATACTTCTTTAACACTAACAATATTTGATTCAACATTAATTAATGTTTGTTCATTATAAATACGTTTTGATGTTGCTTGCATTGCTTTTATACTTGCACGTAAATTATGATTAGCCCATATAATAGCTGATATACCCCATTTTTGAAATGTTTCTGTTGGTGTTTGATAATAATTTGTTGGAACAATAATAACAGGACCTTGATTATTCCATACTTTCATAAATTGTTCAATTTCTTTAGGATCTTTTTGTTTACTATGCATTAATATAGCATCAGCACCAGCTGATAAATAAGCTTCAGCACGACGTACAGCTTCATCACAACCCCAACCACTTATAAATGCTTCAACACGAGCAACAACACAAAAATTAGGATCTTGTTGAGTATCTTTCATAGCACGAATTTTTAAAGCAAATTCCTTCATATCAGCTAATGGTTGTTCACGATGGTCTAATAATGAATTTGTTTTTGGAAATAATTTATCTTCAATACAAGCACCAGCTATACCCAATTGTTCAAGTTTACGAACAAGACGACGAGCATTATTAAAATTACCAAAACCTGTATCAGCATCAACAAGAATTGGAATATTTGTTGCATCAGCCATAAATTCAAGAATATCAAGAACTTGAGTCCATGATGCTTCATTTGAATCACGTAAACCAAGTGAAGCTGACATTGATAAGCCACTTGCCCAAATAGCCTATAGGAATTTATGAATTATCAATTATGTTTAAAGAAATTTCATCTTATGAGGGAAGACCACCAATTGTTCAATCACTTTTGCGTTGAGACTATATGCATTATGTAGATCAAAATGAGCTATGAATACATCCTAAAAAGAGTTCGAGTCCTTAATATATTGCTACAGAGATGCTGCACTTTTACAATATTTTGTTAAATAAATGCCGTGGTACTCCTCAAAAATAGCAGAAAAACTAGTTGTCAAATTTTGACTTGAAACTTTACATAGAAACAGGTCTTAACGAGAATAGTTTTTTGTGAATATTTCAGATCTTGTCATTGTTCCTGTTCGCATATACAACTATGGTAATAATGTATCTTTTACATCATCAAGATAAACCAGCAGATATGATGGTTTCATTTCAAGATTGAAGTAATTCAAAAGATCTGAAACTTTCACAAAAAACTATTCTCATGAAAGCCTGTTTTCATGTAAAGTTTCAAGTCGAAATTTGAAAACTAGTTTTTCTGTTATTTTTGAGGGGCGCCACGGCATTTATATAACAAAATATCGTAAAAGTGCAGTATCTCTGTAGCAATAAATTAAGGATCCGAACTCTTGTCAGGATGTATTCATAGCTCATTTGGATGTACATAATGCACATAGTCTCAACGTAAAAGCGATTGAACAATCGACAGCCTTCCCTCGTTGGTTCAGTTTTAGATATTCATCCATAGTTTTTATTTCTTTTAGATCAGTAAGATAATAGTAATATTAGATCATTCTACACTGCAAAATATATTTTCAACTAAACTCTCTTTCATCAATTTAAAAAAACCAAAACTGTTCCAAGAGAAGTAATATTTGAATTGGAAAACGGCAAATTTGATATGATTAAAGAATGAACATTTCCTAAATTCAAATATTCTATTAATAGCATACAATATATATTGACTTCAAGTGTCCAGAACTATATTATTGATTCAATCAAAAAAGAAATTTATCTGTTGATCAAGTTAAACGAAATAGAAAAAATTTTTATTTTCCTTTAGACTGTTCCCTAGACTGTAAAGATAGAGTCTAGAAACAGAAATTTACCTGTATCTGTCTGCAATATAATTACCATACGGCAACTATGGTACCAATGATTGCAGAGGATGACAAAGAAGGGCGTCTACACACATTAGAATTCAAATTGGTCGAGGAATAATATTCTAGGATGAAGAATACACAGTCTGTATACACTATGAAAACGACTGTATTTTGGTGTACAACATGGCTCAGTATCATGACCGAATTTATCCTTATTAGATACGGAGAAATACGATTGTAAGACTAAGCCATGAAATACATCAATATAGGACGATTTACGATCATTTACAAGCGTACTTGTTCGACCTGGAATGCCTTTAGAAGTGTCGATCGTTGTTGTTAAATTATTGAATAGTTCACACGATTATTCAACACTGTACGCATAAGGATGTGATGTAATAATTATTAAAGGTTTGAGAGTGAATCTGAATATATGATTATGATAAATTAAAATTACATTATTTGAATAATATGATACTCATTTTTTTTTTCGATAAAAATAGATCTAATATCACTAATTGTATTGATTTCTATAGTATCTTTATCAATCAATATATATATATATATATACATATAGCATACATTTTATTCCAAACATGGACAAGACACAGAATAATATGAATGATAAAAAACCTGAATGTTTTTAATTTTAAGGCTTTTATCTAAAATATTGAAACATCGAGCATAAAAGCTCTAAAATCATTAATATACTATTATCTATGACCGGATATCATTCATAGAAATACACTAATTCGATACATATATATATATATATATCAACAAGCGGTAAAAAAATATTTGACAACATTTTTATATAAAAACCAATAAAATTGCACATATAAACTAAACTCTATAAGACATGTGTATAACATAGTCGAACTTTTTTTCTTTATATACCTAAAAATTAAGTTTTATATTACGCAAAAAAATTTTTATGTTTCGTGAAACGAGACACTTTTATGGATCAAGTCAACTCTTTTATTTCTCTAATATTTTATTTATCGAATTACACTTAAATACATATCTCTATCCCATCAGTCCAGGGTTAAATCAATTGAATTGTAATGAACTTTAATTATGTTGAATCACAATAGAATTGTTTGAAACACATTTCATATTGTTTCTTTAATTAGTTTCATTTTCTTAACAATAATAAAATTCTTTGTGCAATACTCATTCAATATTTTCTCAACACTATATAATCCGTTCATTCAGTTTAAGAATAATTTCTATTTATGATTGACGTCATAGAAGAATTATCGATCAAACTAGTATGTCAATATTTTTGACATACATCATTTCTACTTCACTTGCACTCTTAGAAATATAATTTCTTTCAGTACATTGATATGCATCATGCTCGAATTCTTGATGATTGATTAGTTTTATATATAAAACATTTGAGCATATTTAACATGCGCATGTAATAAAAAGAAAAAACAACCAATACTAATCCTACAAGTCTAATAGAAAGAAATAAAAATCGTTTGTAAATTCTTTTTACATTTTTTTTTTCTTGCTGTTTGAATTTCCGGTTCATTTAATTCTGATAAGAGTAATGGTTGATAACCAAAAAAAAAAAAAAAAACTATGTTGCTCTTTCTCATTTGTGATATAGAAAAAAAAAACAACGAATATATTTATTAATAACAGTTGAAGAAAAATTGTTCATTCTATTCCAAAAAAACAAAAATTTTATCGTTTATTATCAACACTTAAACTTACCTTAAAACCTGTTTCTTCAACAATTTTCGCACTTAAAGCACTATGTGCTTCCATAATGAATTCAAGTTGAGGTGATGAAAGCATTTGTTTCAATTGAATACATCGATTATTCGAAAGTGCTGCTTTTGGAACAGCTGAAGGTAGAGTTGAAAATTTTCGTCCATAATTTGTTACTATTCGCAAGAAAATTTTGTTCAACATTATAACGTACAATAAATAATACTATAAATGGCAGCGCAGTGGGTAAATACTGTCTCTCTTTTCTCCTGCGATTTTTTTTTTCTCCGTCCTTTACTCTTAGAAAGCAGATAAATGCCTACAGACTGTTGTTCTGTTACTATATATATTAAAGCAAACAGTACTAAATACACGTATTATCTTTCTTTCTTTTTTTTTTCTTTTCTCGCTATCATGCCACAATATGTTCTTCACTGTTCGGTCAACGGTCACTGAGGTAGCACAGTCGTTGTTGTTGTTGTTGTCTCGTTTAAATAGAGACTTATTTCTCGAAATGATGGTCGGTCTAGACTTGACCATGAAAGACAACGTTCAATAAATGCATAAAGACGATCATTACATAATGTTGGACGTGGAAAATATGTTGAAAAACATAGAACAGATGGTTCAATACCATTTTGTTTTGAATTAGGCCATAAATCATGAAAAAATTGTAAAACTTCATCATTATTTAAATTACTATAGGGAATACATGAGCCCAAATGAAATAATTCAAAAACAAGAGTACCAAACATAAATGTATTTGTTTGAATAGACCAAATTTCATCCTTTAAACATTAAAACAAAAAAATCAAATTTACAATAAAAAAAAAAAAAAAAATCAATAGTAAATATTTACTCCTGTAACAATATCACCAGGTAACCATCGAATAGGCATTTGTTGAACATATCTTGATACATAACGATCATCATATTTAGCATAATCAGATAATTTTATTGTTTTATTATCAAATAAAAGACAATTAGGTAATGTTAAATCACGTACAATTATATTTAATGATTCAAGATGAATTAAAGCTGATAGAATATCATTGAGAAATTCCATAAGAATTCTATTTATATCATAAAAAAAAAAAAAACAAATTTCTTTATGTTATTTTTTTGTTTTGTTTTCTTCTTACGTTAAAGTATTTTCATTTTCAATCGACATTTTTTGACAATATTCAAATAAATTTACTTGACTATATTCACTGACTAGAAGACATCGTTCAGGTGATATATAAACATAGCCAAGACAAGAAATAACATTTTTATGATCTATTAATTTTGATAAATTAAAAAATCTCAATAAAAAAAAAAAAAAAAACTTATTTTATATTAATTAAAAATAAATTTCTATGATAATACTCATTATTATCTCGTTCATATAGAATAACAGATAATTTATTTTGACCATATTCACTATAAAAACACTAAAAATAAAAGAAAATAGAAAGAATTCTTTATTATTGGTTGTTATTCTTAAAAATACTTGATGATTATTTTGAGCACCAAGATTTTGAATGATTATTATTTCACCACGATCAATTTCAGGTAAATGATCACAAACAGAATGAATATTCGGTACAGAACGTCTTGGTGTCATTGACTATTATCATTATAATAAAATGAAGAAATGTATTTAAAAAAAAAAAAAAAAATATTATTTACTCGTCGATGTGAAGGCAATGTACGTATAGTTGCTTTAGCACTTTCATTAACAATTTTTTGTGAATTAATAGGTCGTAAAGAATTTAAATTTAATTCATCATCATCATTATCTATACAAAATAAAAATATAGTTTTTTTTTTTTTGGTATGTAAAAAGAATAAAAATTAATTTACTTTCAAGATTAAAATAGAGATCTGATTGTGAACGACTAGAAATAAATCGATAATATTATTATTAATTATAAAAAGAAAATTTTTTTTGTACTCTTGAATATTTTCGTCATTTGTTGTATTTGTTATTGACATTGTTAAACTTTCTTCAGGTATAATTCTTTAAAAAAAACGAAATTTTTAAATAAAAATTTTTGATTCTCTTAATTCTTACTGTATATGATTAATTTTTTTTTCTTTAAACATAAATGAAATAAGTAAAAACATTAGAAGTAGAACACAAATGATTAACATAAATATTAATAAATATGATAATTTATGATGAACTATTGTTTGTTTTTTTTTTGAAAATTTAATAATAATAAATTTATTAGAAATTTTTTTTTTTTTTTTGTTTAATTTAACTTACGTATTATATCATTTGATATAGAATTCAATGCTAAGAATTCTAATCGATGTAGATTAGTTTCAATATAAATTGATGATGGTATTATATCTTGTTCATCATATTCATTTTGATTATTAAATGTTATTTCACTAATTGCTAAACTTTCTTTTGTATTTATTTGTATAATTACAAATTGACCTTTTGTTTTCGGTATAGATAATATAAGATGTGTTATTGTTGTATGATTATTATAATATAGATTATTTTGTATTGATATTGTATGAAAACGATTTGTCCAAAGATGATTTGATGTAACAATTTCTAATATACCAACATTTATTTTTAATGTACAACTTGATGATAACCATAAAGAACATTTTATATCAAGATTAATTGATTGAAATTCTTTTATTTTATCAAATGCAAATAGAAGTAATATTGGTTCTGATGATGGAGACCAATGAATAAATTGATTTATATCACCATCAGTTAACATACCTAAACCACCTTAATAAAAAAAAAAAACTTCTAAATATTCAAATAATTTTGTGATTTTAAAAATATTTTTTTACCTCGAGCAGTTGAATTTACAATTAATCCATCATATTTCAAATCAGTATTAATAATTGATCGTTGAGGAAAACGTGTTGATATGAGACCATCTAAATATAATTTTCATTAATATTTTCTAGTAACAAAAAAAAATGTTTTTTTTTAATTATTATAATGACTTTGAGATTGGCAACCATAGACTTGAATGATTGTACATATTGATACGGATGATGTTCCGAAAATAATTCGAATTTGTCGCGCAATAATCGATGGAAGAAATGTACGTGTTTTATTTGAATGATCAAGATCATTAAAAAATAAACGACGTCGTTCGATAATCAACTAAAAAAAAAAAGATTTATTGTTTTTTTTTTTCATTTTTTTTAAATACTTTTCGCTGTCGACGTTTTCCATAAGAATGCCAAGGACCATCTTGTGTTCGTCGATATTCAATAAAATATGAATCTATTTTCTATATAGAAATTAAATTCAATAATCAAAAATTAAACAAATTCAAGAAAAAACAAAAAAAAAAGTTATTCTACCGAATTATTTTCTTGATATTGATTAGAATTTCGAACAATTATACCAGTTATTTGTGTTAATGATGGTAATTCTAATTGTATAATAGAAGTTGATTTTTTTCCATCCAAATATGTTGAACATGATGAACAATAAATTGAAGATTTATCTTGTTGTTTATTAAGATGAATTCGATTATTGCATATATTACTACCAACTATAAATAGATAATAAATTCATTAAAATCTTTTGATTTATATATATGTTTCTCTATTTATCTTGACCTTGGATTTTTCAAATCAAATATAAAAAGAAAATGAGGTTTTCTTTTTTTTTTCTTCAAACATTTTATTAATTAAAAGTTCTATTGATTTTTTTTTTTTTTTTTTTTTTGAAATGAAAACTTATAATTAATATTCTTTACCTAATAATGGTAATAAGAATAGTAGAAAATGAATGATGCAGCCCATTGATGTCCGTCACTGTTGAATCAATCACTTATGCATGAAAATATTCTCTGCACATAATATATGAGTGTCAAATCAAAAAAAAGAAAAAAAGAAGAGAAAAAAAGAAACAACAAACTATTACCTGTCTGTCATTCTTTTTTTTTTTTTTTTTTTTTTTGATATTCATGGTCCATTCACTATTTTATGGCATTGAACGTTGTTATTTTATCATCGTATCAAATTGATATTAATTCCAAATGTTCAATTTTTCTTTTGCAATCATGTTCATTACAATTTCATAATTTTTGTCTTTACACTCTAAGGAAATTCACTATTAAATTGATTTTGTTTCACTCATATATACAAACATTTGACCTTCGTTCAGCATTTTATTCATTGCTAATGTATACAAGCACAACCATACGACAACATAGTAATTATTCAAGGGAAACATGAGCAATTATAACTATTTTAATGTTCACATAGACAAGTGTTTGAAGAATGAGTATCATCATTAAGGTTATCAAACGCATCAGCACTAAATATGGTCATAGATGAAAAAGAAAGGGAAAAAAAAAGAACGAGAAGAACTTAGAGGTAGACAGACAAGGCTAATCAATACAAGAATATTGAAAGTAAAAAGACAAAAAAAAAAGAGAGAGAGAGAGAATACAAACAGAAATAGTTAGTCAAAAAAAATTATCAGAACATTCATCCATATATGTATGTGAATAAGGAGACCAACGAGAAGACATTGTAAAAGCTGGTGATGTTTTTAGAATATTTTTATACTAATAAAAGAAAATAGATTTTATTTCTTTCTATGAAATCATATTTGACTTACTCCTTTATCTAATAATTCTCGTTCAATCATTGCTGGTCCAGGACCAGATAATTCTAAACGTTTTTCACGATATTTTGGTGCTATAGTTATACCTTGAACACCACCACATATATTTCGTTTTATTATTTCATTATTAGTATGGATTATTGGATACATAGCTGGTCCAGGTATAGTCATTTCTTGTAATTTATTTTTTTTATCTTCTGTATCGACTAAAAAAAACACCCCGAATTTAATAATCGTTAAAATAAAAATTTCATAGATACATATCATATCAAATCGATGATGAATGGTAGAAATTGGAGCGTTTGGTAAACGTGAATTATATGTTCGAGTACCGATTGTTGTCCAAAATGGTTTTATATTTTGAAAATTATTTTTCTTTTCCAATAATATTTTATTATTAATATCGATATGATGTCGTTCACGTTTTAATCTTGGTCCAATTAATGGATGAATACGAATACGAGGTTGTTGAGTATATATATATTCTTCACCTATTTGATTGTAACCTTTATATCGTTGATAACTTGTTGGACCAGGTCCTGAATTAATTGAATTAGGTTTTTTTTTTTTTAAATTTCAATATAATATATTTTACTTCTCTGTGTTATTGATAAAGGCCTTTTTGATGGAATAATTTTATGCGGAAGAAATGATATAGGTAATCTTGTTTTATCATTACCTAATCTTGTTAAATGACTTAAATCATTATTTGTTGCAATCTTAGGATTTAATTTAATTTGTTCAATTTTTTCTGCAATACGTTGTTGTTTCTTTTGATATTGTGGTGTTATTAATGGTTGATCAATTTTACCACTAATACTTATAGCTGGTGCCCAAAGAATACGAGGATCACGTAAACGACTTTCTGACCTATCATTTCTTGATGGAATTCCAATTGTTGATGGAAGAAGAATATTTCCAGGTGATGGATTCATTTCATGAATTTTTATATTCATTTTATCTTTGATATTATTTGATTTTGTATTATTAGTTAAATCACTATTTGTTCGAATTAGATTTTTATCAATCATTGATCGGTCAATCTTTTTATTAGACATATGAATTATTTTAATATAGACACATTTGAGTGTTGTTTTTTTTTTTTTGATTGTAAAAAACAAACTCTATGGCGCGAATAAACAACTTATATTTTCCTCTACTGTATAGATGTAACTATAAGAGATATATCAAATTATCATAATAGATAATCTTCTGAGATTAGTTTAAGTCAAATCATTGTAATTGATGAACGCGATAAAAATAAAGATATTCAAAAAATTTTTTAAACAAGTTCATCAAATGAAAATAAATATGTTCTTTTATGAATACTTTAGATACAATCGTAGATGTTTTATATTTTGAAAGAAATCATTAATTTTTCTCTTAATAACATAGGGTCGACTATTATAGATCTTTATGATAAAAAAATTTAATTATGTTCACTCTGCTCGAAAGTATAGAGGAGTGTTCAAAGTTTTTTTGTCTTTCATAAGAAAATCATTCATGAACACTGTTTTCAATTATCAACATTTACTTTAATATGCATTGTAATCTTTTATGGATTCGGAAAAAAGAAATGCAGAATAGTTCATGCATATTTTTATGATTTTAACGTCAGATAGCAATGAGATAAATCAAGATAACTTTTCTTCCAAAAAGTCAAAGTGATGCATACAGATAAAAGTCCTAGAATAAGTGAATGCAAGTACTTCAAATGATGTTCATAAGCATCATTGCAATCTTTCATAGTGTGGCTGTCCGACTATGAAAAATCCACAGCGACACCAAGCTCAGTGCTAGAAAACTATACATGAAATGCTAATGAAATAGAAGAAAAGGTGACCCCGAATAACAGAACAAATGAGACAATCCAGTATATTCATTGTAAAAGGAATGCACGCATAAATATGTGTATGCTATTTTATACCAGTATAAAATGCAACACTAACACAAATGTACACCAACCGTACAGGCGATTCACGTCTTAATGACAAGTATGACTCATTTTGCTGGGAAAGTTAAAAGAAAGGATTTAATCATTGACAGACTCATTCTTTATGAAATACTGATTGTTTTCTTATTCTATTTCATATTCATTTGTTAAATTTATAAATTAAATTGTAATTAATCTTGATTAAAAATTATTCAAATAACAAATTGATCTAACTGAAATCTTAGTAATCTTCATTGTGATAATAATCTAAATTCATCTTAAACTTACATTTATGCAAATTTAATTACGAAATTAAAACGGAAACGAACATCTTATAAGTATATATACGGTGTGTTCGGTTATATCTTGCCTAATTATCAACAAAAAACAAAAAAAACAACTTTGAACATTTCTCTATCATTGATAAGAAAAATGAGTTCAATATCTTCATAGAATAAAATCGAAAATTAAATATTTTGTTGTTTCTGTATATCTGTGTCCCAATGATTTTTATTTTCAACAAAGAAAACAACAAAAGACCAAGAAAATGATAATGGAAAAATGACACAGACATATAACGAGAAAAAGAATGAGACATTCATCAACACACAATCTAACACGAGCACACAAGAAAAGACAAATCAAGAAGAAAAAACAAACAAACAAACAAACAAACAAATTGTGGTACATTCTTCATAAATGTGTTGTTTTTTTTTTTAAATATCAATTGAAATAAGGTTTCTAACCTTGAATGTCTAAGAGAAAAAAATCCATATATAAGTGTCCTTTAAAGAATATTAAATTGTTGTTGTTCTTGGTTATAGAGTATCGATATAAACAGAAAGAAAAATGTGAGAAAAAAAGGAAACGACAGAGAGAGAGACAACACATAACTAAATAGAAGAAAGAGTTTGAAGATAGAATAATAAATTCATATGCTTCAAAACGCATACAAACAAGTTTTTTTGTTGACAAGAAAAAAGAAATCGTTACAATAGGCAAGAAGAAAGAACAAAAGAAAACGCAGAGTTTAGTTTTTTTTTATTTGTTTTTGTTTTTTCATATTTCAATCAATGAGACCAAAAGATTAACGATTTTCAACTAGAAAATTAAAAAAAAGTTTTTTTTTTTAATAGAATAAATTTCGTAAAAATTAAAATCAATATATTTACTATAAGTAGCTACATCAATTTCATCGGGCATTTCAGTAATTTGAACTTCAAAACGTTTTTGAACTTCATTAAGAACTGCTGCATCACTTTCATCTGCTACATATGTTATTGCTAAACCTTTTGTACCAAAACGACCAGCACGAGCAACCTAAAATATAATTATTGTATACGAGAATAAAAACAAAACTTAGTGACATACTCGATGAAGATAAGTATCTGTATCTTCCGGCATATCATAATTAAATACAATATTAACACGTTCAATATCCATACCACGTCCAAATAAATTAGTTGCAACAAGAATACGTGTTTGAAATTCTTTAAATTCTTTATAACGTGCCAAACTAAAAATAAATTTTTTTTTTTTTTTTTTTTTCTTCTTTATTGAATTTTGTCTTTTTAAATAATAGTTAAACAAACCGTTCTTCTTGAGGCATGCCACGATGAATTTCAACAGCAGGAAAATTTTGTTCTGTTAATAATTTGCATAAAGCTGTACAACGTGGTACCGATTTAACAAATATAACTACTTGATTAAATTCCAATTTATCCAATAAATCAATTAATTTACGATTTTTTTCATTTTCTCGTAATTTAACATAATGTTGACGAAGACCCTTTATTAAAATAAAGTTAAATTATTTTGATTTCATATCATTTGATGATTTTAGTTATCAAAGTTTATTACATAAATGGACAATCTTATTGGATAAATCACTTTGATATTAACAAAATCTTCTATTAGGGACATATATATATATATTATTAATCCCCATATTTAGGATTTGTACAGATCTGAAGTAGATCATATTCATTCACATATATATATATATATATATATTTCAAAATATTTTATCATATAAATAAAGATTGAATTGGATTGTATGATATATTATCAGATGTCTCTAAGCCATATTCGAATGAATGAAATTTCATATATATATATAATTAGTATTCATTTGAAGCTAATTAATATTTATACGGATTAAATAGAAGAATGAGACTCCTTTTTAACTCTCCAAAACTGCATATATCTTAAAAATATGAAGTCCACTTTTACCATCTCGAAGATAAACAAATCATTATAAAATATCGCATTAGTCAAATAATAATACTATATATCAAATAGACTCAATATATAATAATGAATAAATCTTTCTATTTTATAAGAGAAATTAAATTTCTTATTTTTGTTTTTTATTTTAACAAAAAACAAAAATACTTACATGAAGTGTTAATTTTGTTTCGTCATCAATATAAATTTCCATTGGCTAAAAACGAAAATAGAATAATTTCTTATCAACAAAAAAACAAAAAAATTCTTTTATTATCAAAACTTACATCTTGCATAAATTTCTTACACACCGGTCGAATTTCTTTATTTAATGTAGCACTAAACATTAAAACTTGTTTTTCATGTGGTGTCATTTTAAATATTTCTTGAACATCACGACGCATATCTAAGATAAAATAAAAGTTATATTCAAAAAAAAAAAAAAATAAAAACAAAAATTCTTACCAAGTGATTCAAGTACTTTATCACATTCATCAATAATAAAATGTTTAATTTGACGTAGATTAAGTGCTTTACTTTTAGCTAATGCTAAAATACGGCCAGGTGTTCCAACAACGATATGTGGACAATTTTTTTTTAAAATATCTTCATCATGTTTTGCTGGTAGACCACCAAAAAATACAGCTACTTTAACTGATGACATATATTTGCAAAAACGTTCATATTCACGACTTATTTGAAAAGCTAATTCACGTGTATGACAAAGTACAATTACTGATACCTAAAAATTAATTCAATTTTTCTTTTTCTTTTTTTGTTTTTTCTTTTTACTTGTCCATCAACAGGTTCAAGTTGTTGAAGTGTTGCAAGAACAAAAACAGCTGTTTTACCCATACCCGATTTGGCTTGACATACAATATCTGTACCAAGAATAGCCTGTGGAATAGATTCATGTTGAACTAGAAGAAAAACAAAAAAAAATATTCATTTATTTGAATTTAGATTTTTCTTTTCTTTTTTTTTTTTTTTTTTTTTTTTTTAATTTTTTCAACCTTCCGATGGATGTTCAAAACCACAATCCATAATAGCACGAAGTAATTCAGGTTTAAGTAGAAAATCTTTAAAACCACTAGCATGTATTGATACATATGAACCTCGTATTGGTCCACTTTGTGTACCAGTTGTACTACCATTTTGTACATTTGTTGTACCACTACTACCATGTGATGTTCCACTTTTTGTTTCTGTTTGTTGTGGTGCATCATCTGTTTCATCATAATCAAGAAGTTCTTGTTCGTCTGTCATTTTTTATTTTATTTAATCTGAAATTGAATATTATTTGGCTAAACATCATCATTTCGATTTTTATCTAGAAGAAAAGAAAAAAAAACATCAATAGATGTAATTTAAATATTCGCATATGAATATATATATATATATATATATATATCAATATTGTTTTTCTTTCTCTTAAATAAAGATAATAGAAAAAAAAACAAATAAGCAACAAAGACAAAAAAAAAAAACGAAGGAAAACATCATCATTCGTATATTATCATTGAGACAAAAAAAAGAAGAAGAAATTCATATACACAAGAAGAACCAAAAAAAAAAAGGAGAATATATTTATATTCACTGTTATTTTCTTATACATATGAATGCATAAAGCATATTTTTTTTGTAAAAGAAAAAAAAATGCTTTTGCCTAAAAACAAATAGATTACACACACGCATACACACACAAATGCATTAATTTTAATTATAGAAAACAAATATGAAGAAAAACGAAGACTTATTGTTGTTCTTAAAAGAAAAAAGGAAAGAGGATCTTAATTGAAATATCAGTTCTGATCTCACAGACACAGATCTTTGGAATGCGTGTGGAGAGAAAGGGATAAAGATAAATGTTATCGAATAGGATGAAAAATTGAAATTCAG